ATATTATTTAATATAAGTGTGTATGATGAATAGCAAAGTCTTCTTATTTTTATTGCCACTCTTTCTCATTTTTGGTGTTTATATATACTACTTCAGTTCATTTCTGTTGTGATTGGCTGAGAGCTTCGAGTTTGCGTCTAGCTCTCACTCCGTAAAGCACAGAAAGAGACAATAAGAACAATTGTTGAGTATTGAGTGAGAGCGAGATGGCTAGTTCTCTCTTTGTTAAAGGCTAAAAATACATTACTAGAGACAGCGGGATCTTTTTTAATGCAATTTCAAAATTATTCAAATAGAATGGAAGGTAATGAAATTGGCTTTGGCTCGACATATCAATGTAATCGTATTTCAATCATAGAGCAGCTCAAATTAAATTCTTGTTTGTTTTGCTAGGATATTGCAAGCTGAATGTAAAGCACAAAAAACGAACAATTTGTTGTTCTTCCTTTGTTTGTTATTTACAGGATATGATTGTACAGTTAATTGACTAACGTAAATTAAAGTTTTGCTTTGACACGTCGCCTCGTTTAATCTGCTATAATCTGTAAATTTGCTATTTACAACAGTTACACTCAAACAGCTTAATTAACTATACAGTAAATAATAAATAAGCTGCTCTGAAATGTGAATGTAAATCAATTCAGTTAGGTCATATTTTCAGTTTATGATCTGGAAAGCGRGTGAAAAAAACTATATAATTTATATTTTAGTTGAGGTTAAAACACTTGTTTGAAAGCGTACTAGCTGGCTTTTTATGGCCAGGGGATAAGCTGGCGTCCGAACGACAAAAGTCAGCCATAAAGAATTGCATTCATAATAGCCCCAACATAAAAGTGGGGCGAAACTTTTATTTCACGCCAAATTGCGCTCAACGGCAAAACACTTGTTCAGCAACTCGCAGGCTGATAAATGGCAGGACGAGCCGACAGCCGGATGGGGCGAAAGTTTGTCACTTTTTTTTTTTTTTTTTTGCTTTTTTCTCATTTCTTTCATGCAACCAACATCGGGTTATTTGTGTGCAGTTTATCAGGCGCGAAGCCAGCGCCTCATTGGACACCAGGCAGCACAATATGGTCCGAGAAGATAGCCAGAAAGACAATTACGGGCTTTCTCTATCAAATTGAGTAATCAATGGATCTAGTCAGCAATTTAAATCAATTAAAATTGTTGTCAACATAAATCAGCAGAGAACAAAGGGAATTTTATGCTGCTTTTGTTTGAGATTTTTTTGGATTTCTTTTAATTTTTTATTTAAATATCTGACTATATTTCCAGCAAAGCCGTGCAGTCATCATCGAGCAAAAGTTAATTTCAGCACTCRTAAATAAATAATAGCCGATACAGTAGCAGTTGCAGTTGCAGGCGTATGGCTCGATTAAGTTGTTTTTCCAACGAATTGAATGCGTATACGCCCTGTGTGACGTATGCGCTGCGCAAACTGCAAATGTGGCACATTAACCCCCATTGAGAAACGATGCATAAATTATGCGTATCCATGTCCGGCTACCTTTGCCCATAATGGCGATAATGTCAAGCTGCATTATGACTGCAGCGCCACGCTTAAAACTCTTTACAGCAGCGCAACGAATTCGAATCGAACATCTGTATATATGTACGCCGGTAAATAAAAGTGTTTGTCGGCTTATTGCAGCGGAATTGAGAGCCTGCACAGACAGTTTTGTTTACTGCACGAATTAAATTACACAATGAGTGACATGGAATTACAGAGACTTAACTTGATGTTTAGCACGAAATGTCATGTGGATAATTGCAATTCTGTATAAATAATTTCTTTATATTTATTCATATATATTTATTCCTCATATATTTCATTAAATTCCACAGCTTATTTATTACTGCATGAGATATCTGTATGGATGCCACCCGCACACTGAAATCGATTGCCTGATGAGTCCCAAGTGCTCCCCAAGGGATAATGAGCCCAGCCTAAGGGTTGTGATTTACGCTTGTTGCTTGACGCCCTCGGCGCTTAAGCGTATGTATGAGTGTGTGAGTTATTCTGTCTGTGTGCGTGGCTGCTCTGAGTGCTTGCGTATGAGTAATATTGTGCGATTAATGAAATGACTTATTGGCATGTCACTCAGACATTAAATGACAGATTCATTGCCAATTTTAACACTGTTTCCATTGAAATTGGACAAAATGAAAATGTGCCGCATACTTGAAGCAGTTTTTATATGAATGGTATACGGCTCTAGTTACTCTGTAAAGCTGTTATATTTCTTAACAATGCGTTGGGTGTTCAGTGCATAATACGGGAAGATAAAACAACAGTCAAGAAAAGTTGATTTTCAGTATTGTGACACACAGCCAGATTTTCCTTTGTTGAATACGTATACGTATACGAAAATAATGAAACATCTGTTAGCTGCTTAGTTTAGTACTTGCCGTTTATCATAAACCTTAAATAAATATTACAATACCTTAGCATTCATATCTCCTATGTGATAGCAAGTGGATTCGAGTATTCAGCTCGATCACCACATAAAAGCCGCAACAAAGGCAAATTGCAGTCAGTTGAAAAATAACAATTACTTTCCTCCAAATGCAAATGTTTGCTCATGTGCTGGTCGTGCTAGTCATCTGCATGTGGATGTTGGACTTTGGAGCTGATAGTAGAAACATAGTGTTAAGTACAACACCTATCATAACCATTTTGAAAATAAATCCCAAGGTGTTTGCGCCAGCAAAGAAAAAAATAAAATATAGATTCACTTTGCCGCTCTCGCTAGCTCTGCCCTTGGTAGGCATTACCACAAAGATATTATATTTATATATCAATATATTAATATGTGAAATACCCAACAGGAACAGCGCCAGGAATTGATGGACAATTGCAGTTCCTTTGGCAGCCCATGCCAATATGCCGAAAACTGTTGCACACTACTGTGTTTAAGACACAAATACGTCTGCGTATCATAAGATGAACCTGAGATATTTTGTTATTAACTATGCTATAGGGCGAAATAAAAAATGCTTTTTGGAAATATGTTTCGTCTTGGCAACTGCTTCATGCGTGCATATATTGACTGCCGCTCAAGTATTTGCGTCTTGCATTGCATTTGCAATTGCAATTTCGCAAAGGCTGACTTTGAAAAACTCTGAACTGAACTCGTGTGAGCTACAATCACATGAACTCTTGCACATAGCTTGATCTCAAAGAGATTCCTTAAGCAGTTGCTGGGTGAGCAAAGTAGGCGTCTCTCTCTCCCTCTCTCCCTCACTTGTGTGTGTTTCCAGCAGCTAGTCGCAGTTTCTTCTGTGAAATGCAATCAAAAATAGTCGTGATTGAAAATATATTTAAGCAGAACATGAAGAAACAATGATCGACTGGAATATACTCTGGGTCGATAATGCTGTAACTGTAGGCTTGTTGTGAGTATTATGCCTTTTCAATATAGCTGCTATATATCATTTTATCATTATCTGTTTATCACTATAGAAAATGCAATCTTCATGTTCTCGATTTCTAGCTGCATTGCTTGTTCTGTTATGCGTATTGTACTACCTTGACCTAATATACCCCTCTTTAAATTTAACGTTATCAATGTATAAAAATATAAATATATTTGCAGAAAGGCAAACTGAAGCAATTGCAATCAGTCGACTAAAATTATAAATCATACAAAGGCGTTGCAGTTATTTTGGCATTGACAACTGCCAGCAAGTGAAAATAAGTGAGAATAAGCAATCATAAGTACCTCTTAATATGGACATTAAATTAGTACGCACTCGTTTCGAATGGAAAATTGAATTCACTTTGCCAACCCTGGAATTGATTTTAGACACCACAAATATCACTGCACAATTGCTGAAAATAGATAGCATCAAACGGAAATGAAAAATATTTCAAAAGCGAAAGTAACAAAAAAAGAGAGAATGCGAAAAAATGTTGGCCAAAGCGCCAAAGCCAAGAAAACAAGTGGAAAGCAAAGCACAACGAATAAAATTGACTATTAAGACAAACAAAATGATGGTTGGCATGGTAAGCGGAGATAAAGCTTCACAAATGAAAAGGAAAACACCAAATTGATAAACGCTGCCTTTGTTTCAGAAATTGGCAAACCCAGCCATGCCCAATGGTCGCTCACTGGGCGAAGCGAGGGCGAAAGCAGCAACAACAACAACACAGGCATTGGAATAGCTTAGCGCGGAGCTGATTATCTTTGGCAGGCTAAAGTGTCCCTGCTGCCAGCTTCCCAAAAGACACGCGTCATAAAAGGTGCCCGAGGGTTTCAGTCAACAAAAAGCCAAAGAACAGCCGCATTTTGCGCAAGTGCCTTTCAGTTAGATAGGTTCAAGGTCTGACGCTTTAAGATAGCTAAAAGATCACTTCTCTTAAAGCCAGCGAGCAGTCGTAGCGACTCTTTAGGAAATCCAGTTACTCGTTGACTTCCAACACACAATGATTGGATAGAGTTTCCATATTCATAGACTTTTTTCGAAAGACTATCTTATAGCACTGACAGCATAAATTCATGTTATGTCAGCTATCTCCTACCGCTGCCTCGTAAATATTTTTTGATTTCAATTCGACCACTAAAGCAATTGCATATCCCGAATCGAAAGTTTGCTTCGTCTACAGCAATAGCAAAAAGTGTTCATTAAAATGCAATCGAATTTTGGCAGCTTACGAGAGAATTCAATTACTTTTTGTCACATGTGCGACGCACAAAAGTATGCAACATTTTATAGAAGACTGTATGTGCCATCAAGATGAGCTCGTCTCTCTGTTAATGACTTTGTGTGTGTTTGAAGAGGGCAAAGCACTTCAATCATCTGATGAAAAGTTTTTTTATTCTTACTTAAATCTTGCCGTATGACATTCAACTGCAAATCATTTGAAACTAGATAGAAAATAGAAAGGCAATGCTAGAGGATATGTAAGGCAGATGTGAAAGACGCGTATTCAGCTTGAAATATTATCAAATACAATTTAAT